TTTTTTTTCTTTCTGAATAAAAGTGTAATTTTCTTTCAAAACAACAAAAAAAAATCTTACTGACCCCAAATTTGTTGAATGGTAGTGTAAAATGTAATAATTTTTTCATGTAAATTTGAGGCATTACAAGGTATCATACAAAATGTATGTCACACAGCTACACTGGGATGCAGTTTATGGACAGATTAATTTTGCTCATGCACTGTAAAAGAGCAGAAGTTTTGATACTGTTACTGTAGGGTCTGTTTTCTACCTGAACTAACCTTTAACAACAATTTTCATTGGTGTAACCTAATGTAGTCAGTTTAAATCAGTCAATATAAAGAATATTTCCTGAGTAAAGCCACTTTATTAAAATGTTGTCTGTGTTGACTCCAGTTCTAATTTAAACTTTGTGCAGAGTTTGTTATAGAGTTTGAGGAAAGCCAACATGAGCCGGGCAGCTGGAAGGAGATGATGAGAGTACCGGGAAACCATCACTTTGCTCTGCTGAATCTTCACGGACACGTAGACTACCGATTTAGAGTCTCTGCCACCAGTGAGGTGGGAAGAGGTCAGCCAAGCCAGGCCACTGAAAGATACAAAACTCCAGCATCAGGTATCTATGAGCTCTCCTACTGTTTCTCCTAACCACGTCACCTTTATATACAGCAGTGAGGCCAACTTCATCACCTACTGAACTTTAAAACATTCAAACTTGTGAGATAATTGATTTTCCCTGTCGTTTAAGCTCCAGTCTATAAAGTGCATATTTCACAGGCCATTTTTCTTTCTTCCACTAACAATTTCATCTCGAACAAAATCCATATTTCTGCTCTTTCCAAAGCACCCGACAAGAACCCAGAAAATATCAAGATCGAAGGTCATTTGCCACATGAAATGGATATCAACTGGGAGGTATGATGCTAAACGTTCAGTTCCAATAGTCTTCAGGAATATCTAACGTTCAAAGCACTGCAAAGGCTGCACAGATAAAGAAGAGCTCTCAAATACAGAATTTCATTTAGTTCTCAGAGGGGGAGTGCAAACTAACAGTGTCAGTTGTCAAGTTCCAATTATCGATAAGCGTATTTCCCGAGATAGCAGTTTTTGCATAGCAAAACACGGCTATCTTTATTGCCATGCTGTTGGGAAAGTTACAAAACCCTGCTGAAATGGATCTCTCTGGATACAGGTTCCCATCAAAAGGAGCCCAGAGTCAGTCTTTGATTAAAAAGTAAAAGGAACAGGATACATAAATTAAGATTTTCACATAAAGGTGAATGTCTTTTACAATTTCTGAGCTATTACTTGGCCACCTTTTCATACTAATGCACCTACTTTATAAAATTATGAGGAATCTCATTGTTAATGGTGGATGTTAATGAATAATTGCATTTTGTTCGGTCTTTTGCTGCAAGATGATTGTAAAATCATAGTTAGCTGCTGTACCTTAGAGCTTTGTTAATAAAAGT